GAGAGAGAGAGAGAGGAAAAAGCTAACGAGTTGGCGAGAAGGCGGCGGGAGAAAAAGGAAGAGAAAGTTCCTCTCGGTTCCGGGTGGCGTTCGCTCCGTTCCTGTTTCCTTTTCATTTCAGAAAAACAAATAGTCGAGATTTTAACGATACGCGAATGATTTACGCGGCCGCGCCACGTTGAAGAAGAGAACAAAATTTTTTCTTTTTTTTTTTTTTTTTTTTTTTTTACCCTTAAATCCGGACGTGGAAAGCGGAAGAGACAGGGGAGAAGAGAAACAGGGGGGGGGGGGGAGATTGGAGGAAAATCACTTTAGTTGATTGAAACGAGGGCTGAAATGTCGGGGATTGAAAAGTTGAGAATTCCTGTCCGTGAAACCGCGTATGTATTTTTCTGTTAATTCGCGTTTATTCAAATGTGTCGCTACGGCGAAGGGTCGAGGATTGGTCGTATTCTATGGAAAAAGAATATCGGTGTTACTATATATATATATATATATATCTAGGAGGAATGAATCCGAGTAATAAAATTTTTAATTAACGAATGGGTAATTAATTTAGCTATGAATGTAGAAATCTCGATTTAAGGGATAGCGGGATAACGAGAATGTTACTCCAGCTTCCTAGATTTACGTGTAACCTAGATTTTTCTTTTGCGCCCCGACGCGGGAGAAAAAAATTTATGAGAATTTTTTTTGTATAATAAATCTGGTACGTCATCTGTAATATTTAATTCCGGAATTATTAACACGCACGATGCGAATATTCCGTGCGAATATTACGGTTTGCCGTGTTAACCGAGGTTAATTATTACGTAATTATTTTAGAATTAATTTATTACGGGGTTTTTTAACCCGTTTTCGGGATTTAAATTTTCGTATTACTCACCAGTATAGTGGTTACGATAAAGGTCTTGTTTTGAAGATTCTCCACGATTTGCGTGTACTCCTCCTTGTAACTCCTCGTAAAATTTATTCCCTTCGTGCTGTTCCATGTCCCTATCTTCTTCAACCCCTCTTTGTTGTTCAGCTCGATGATGTCGAGGATAAAATCTGAGCGGAATCCTTGATGATCGAATTTGATTGTCCCCGTCAGTCCTGTCATTTCAACCTAAAAGTATTTATACGCTTTATTATGATTCTTTAACAGAAAAGGAGGGGGGAAAAAAGATATATCGATAAAACTATTGTTTTCACGACGAATTTTTACGCTTACGTTTTTCTTGGAATTCGAATCTTTTTATAGTCAATTAATATTCACACTTCGTCTCCAAACTGGATTTAATCTATATTTTTTTATGACTACGTTCACGAAGACAAATGTTCAGCTCGATATTTACAGACTAGAGCAATTAGAAACGTTAAAATGGAGACGATAAATCGAATGAATGAACCACATATGAACCACACGTTTGGCTATTCCGTATAATTAAACGTGAAATTCTGGATAATTAGATTTGATCAACGAATCGTAGGCATATCTCGATTAAACTTTATACGAAATGAAACGTGATTTCGATATTATTTTCCCTTTTCACCTCTAAACTGAAGAAATCTGGCAATCATTCTCTCAATCACAGATTTTCGAACAAGACACTCCTCATCATCAGCTGTCAAATAACAAAGCAGTGCTGAATACTCTTCCAAAAATAACAGATCCTGTATAATTATTCGAGTTTGATTACCTACGATAGCATTTCGCCACCAAACATAACCAACCAGCCTCGGCCTATCCGTGTCTGAACGAATGGCACAAATTACCCATTATCGCGCGAATCGTTGTGTAACCGAACCTGATCGAATCGCGGCACGGCGATAAATTCAAACGCGTAGTCAAGCAGCCGTACAAAATTAGCTAGAGGTTGCCATTACCTGCATAATTACCGGATCAGCTTTGATACGAATTTTCACCGGCAAATTGCATCTGCTTCGCTTTGGCCAGGAAAATGGCTCCTGTTCTCGGTTACACACCGGTATAATTAGCAATATTGAAGGTGGTGTCGAGGCGACTAGCGGCGTTGACAAGTGTTTTTCTATCCGGGCAAACGTTATTATTATTCGGTTCGCGCGAAATTTTTGCTTCTGTTTTTCGTGAATTGCGTTTTATCGATAATAACATTGAACGGAGTAGACACGTGCAAATACTAAAAAAAAAGAGTGAAAAATAGAAAGAAAAAGAGAATGGAAAATACAGTTATTGCAATCGTTATTGGCTCCGACTGATTTTTAGTTATTCCGTTTTTACGCTATTAATTATAAGGATATTATACAAAATGTGTCAGAATTCCTAAATCGATATTTTCCTTTGCAAGAACGTTTCTTAACTAATTATTAATAAATCAAAAAACGATATACGTGTATGTATAATAACCTTAATTGCGCTTTACAGGTTCATTGTTCGTTCTCGTAACATTTCATAACATTCGCGCTTTTTATTTATTTATTTTTTTTTTTTCGTTGAAAAATTTCGTTAAAAATGAAGTATACGTACGCCAATTATTCGAATTGGACAAAAATTGGAAAAAAGATATCGGTTCGTTACGCGATTCGATTCGCAGAGAAGAAATCGGTTTTGCGCGCCAGGAACGTTTTCGATTCTCGTTTTATCGCGCTCCCAATTAAAATTGCTTGTTAGAGAACAACAAAGCACCAAAACTTTAACCATCGTTATCTCGAAATAGTTTTCGGGAAGCGCTCGTAGCCCATTCGAGGTTGAATCGTGGTAACTATTCTATCACGAACTTTACGCTTAAGATACTGATGCTTTAAGCGATTAGGCCGCGAACTTTAACGATATTCAAAACGGCCAGGCCGCTGGAGTGCTGCACTACAGTTAATAATGCACTCGGATAGCTGCGTAAGCTCGTTAAAGATCATTTGCTACGGATAATTACGTTTTTCAAGCGTTTCTATTCTGTTCTCCTTTTTTTTTTCGAGTGTCTTTGGAACTAGTAACGTAAGTCGTTTTTACATTGAAAAATATATTTGATAAATTTTCAAATTATAAACATCGTTCTCGTGGAATAAAATTCGAAAATATCTCTTTTTCCATTCGAAACCATTCGAAGTAATTTCGTTTGATCCATGAAATTTCAAATCTAAATTCTCGATACTGCGATATTCCAATATTCGAAATTCCAATATTCCGAAAGGAATAATCATCGTCTTCCAATTAATAATCTTGCTATCACTTCCGTCCAAGAGGGTTCAATTCACCTTCTCGAAGTTCGGTCAGAATTTGAACTTCGGCCAACCGTGTCCCTGGTAGTAGTAGATTCGTAGATGTCACGAACGTCATCATAGATTCACGGTCGCAAAACCACCAGCCATAATTTGTCAACGGAAGGACGGCTTCGTTTAACCCGGAACGTAACTTTCCATTGTTCGACGAACAATCGCGAACAGTAGGAGGGAAATGTTCGTGTCATCCTTGCGATTCTCCTTAATTCACCACTGAGAATCCTCTTTCTTTTTCGCAATGATAAAATTACTATTTCTTTTTCCCTTTTTACTATCTAATATAATATCATCATATAACGAGTATAATCCGAATATAAACGCAGAATGTAACGATGTATCTGGAGTCAGACGAAAGCTAAAAGGAGATTGAACAAGATTCGTCGAGCATTAATTGATGACGATTTACATGTACGAACGAAAGATACAACAATATGTCGGAATTAAACGAGACAAATTGTCACGAATTTCGTATTCTCCGTTCTTCCATCAACTGGACTTTCGATCAAACTTCTAATCCTTAAACATTCACGAGCACAGTCCAATCATCTTCTTCCCTCGATGTTCCCCGATATTTTCCACGGGCAAATAAGTTTCTCAATTTACCAAATACACACCAAGAGGCACACTTTCCATAATTCCGCGCCGTGTTTGCATCTATCACACGACGGTATTCGTTAATAAACACAGGATCTCCGAGGCAGAGAGGGACAGTGCGATTAAACATATCGTTATAATGGCTTATTACGTTACCGGGACGGTCGATCGATTCGCCACAATCGCCGCGAAATTAATTTCCCCCTTCTGCGCGATAAACCCTCTCCTCTTCTATCCCTCCATCCATCCCCCCCCTCCTCTCTCTCTCTTTATCCACATCGATACGAAACCATTCGCAAGATACTTATCGATAACGGAACGTTGTTGCGTATCAATTTGCGCGGATACGTTTTTGTCGCGATGAGCTCGGTTTCGAAACGGTTCGCACCACCGACAAACCTCTAATTACGCGGTGGTGCAATTAGGCCGATTGCGCTAGTGCGGCTCGACTGGTGGGCTGCTTTGCATATTTCGTGCCAATTCCAAGATTCCTCTCCCTCCCTCGCCTGGCAAAAAGATGCCTCTTTGTTGACCGTTGTATATATTCTCCGTTTTAATGCCATGTGTGTGGGTGCAGATATGCATTTTTCGGGAAATAGTTGGCGAGGACGTCGCGGTTCACCGGTTTCAGATCGCGGGGATGATAACGGAGAATGCATTGGTTACTGTGTTGTAGAATAGTGAATATGTATGAGGTATAGGGAAGAGTAAATTGGTGGAAGATTCTTTTTTTTTTTCCCCCTCCCAATGTTTGCGTTGCGGTTTGGCTCGAATCGGTTTGGTTTTCGGGCGTGATTGATTTTAGAATTGATCTTTATGATTTTTTATATATTCGAACGAGAATTTTTTGTAGTTCGAAAAAAAATATATAATTATATGTAAAGGGGGAATTTTTTAGGATCGATTTTTATCGTTAAATTAATTTTACATTATTTGTATTATTATAAAGAATACATTATGCGTAGAAATATATTTCGATTGGAGTAAATCCACACGAAAAAACGATAATTAAATTACACGAGATAATATAAAAATTTCGGTGGAAAAAAAAAAAAAGAATAGCCGGTTAACATATCAATTATAAATTCAAATAAATTCACTTTTTTTTCCCCGCTGAAAAAAATCCCGATTCCGATAAAATACGAGAGGCGAGATAAGTGGGGAATGAAAACCTCAATTTACACGAAAATGGCTTGAACGTGACAAATTATCCCTAATTTCGCGAAATTAAGTGATTTCGTCGCAAATTGCGCCCAATTTTGAAAATTTTACCGAGATTTCATTATTCCCCGCGAGAATAATGCGATGGTTTGAAGAGTGTTATCGCAAAACCCACGAAAAAAGAGGGCGAAAAAAAAAAATTGTTGCAACGTTCGAAAACAACCGAGTTAACCTGAGAATTTCCTCGTCCCATTGCACCATTTCTTTTTCCTTTTTTTTTTTTCTTCTCGTTTGCCAATTACGTCATAGGCTCCCATCGGAACGTCATCGTGACGCGAACATCGTTTCCCCGAACCATCGTTCCACTCGTTTTCAATTGGAGCTTTTCCAACGATATCGCGATAGAATTAAGACACCAATGGAATTTTCTCTCCCCACCCTTTTCACGTGACATCGTATATAAAGCAGACGCTCTTTGAACGTCTTTCCCGTCGAACAATCGTGGGAATACAACGCCAGATTTTTCTTGCACGAGCAAATGGAACAGAAGAGAAAAATAAGATTCGTCGCGCACGTTCAATCTATTTTCATACGACATAGCTTTGGCTGGCGATGCTTCGACTGATTTTTCGCGTATCATATCGTAGCTGAAATACTTACGATTTTCATATAATTGATGAGCGAATATCCATGAGGCCAGGTATCGGTGGACTCGCAGGAGAGCGGCTTGATGTCGATCTGCTGGGACGTGTCCAAATCGTGCAGTGCTTTCGCGAATAGGTGCACAGCGTCGTACATTAACGATGTTTCAGTCTAGAAGTGTAGTTGAGACGAACAATAAAAAAATATAATAATAATTTAATAGTTGAATAGATGAAATAAAATGAACAATCGGGTACGAAATATTCGAGATAGTTTCACAATTTGGTCAATTTCATAGTGAAAGTTTTATTTCCAATTTTCGTCTTTGTTTATGTTTCGAATTGTTTCTCGAATCGTGATTAAAAAAGCCACTTCGCGTTATCGCTCGTTTCAGATTCAATATTTTCACAGGATTTTACGAGACCATTCTACCTTTATAGTAGAGCTGGAAAATCAGATCTATTTCGCGCGCATTTACAACGAGATCGCTCGTCCGGTAGTTAAGGCAAAATTAATCTAAACTGGAAATTCTGTGGAAATTGATTTTTTTTTTGCAAATTTAATTTAAATATTTATATAATTTATAAAGTATATATTTTTTGTATCATAATAAAAGTTAATGTAGAATAATGTCAAAAAAAATAGTTTATTTTCAAAAAATCTGATGGATAATTAACTTGGAGTATCTATGAAAATTTATACTATTTTTTTTTTGACGTGTTTAAGGCATGATCATACTATGTAATATTAAATAATAATTCTTACCTTTATGCAGGTGAGGTTGTTCTGCTCCACATGAAACAAAATATGAATAAATATAATAAAATACGAAATATCGATTTAAAAAAATTTGACTACAAAATCTTAGTTTCATAACTATTACTGTAGAATTACAAATAAAAATTTCATTACGAAAACGATTCGATTATTTTAAAATTATTAAAAAAATATTCTTCTTCCTTTGGTCTCAGAAATTTGTACTTGTTTCTTTAATAAATCTGCATCATTGTGAAGCAGTTTTAAATTTAAGAAAATTTCGTATCAAAAACTAACCGATAGTTTTTATTGTTCTCATCGAGAATGAGAAACATATTTCATCGCGATCGTTCAGAATAAATAAATAAATAAAAAAAAAATGTTACAAATAAACGGTTGTCAATGCTTTTTGCGCATTCGATCGAGGATTAATTGCCTTTCGATGCGAGTAATCGTGAGTCGAATGCGGCAAATGAGAACGTTTATCATGGAAAATGATCACGAATCGTGGGATAAATACGGCGAATAACAGACATTTCCTGCCTGTACTTAGAATTGTCGATAGCAACACGCGCGTGCTAATTTATCAGTAATTCGACAAGATACACTGATCATTTGTCACGTGCACGCGCTCCTATTTAATTAATGCGATTTTGTTAAATTGCCGACTCTGATATCCGAGCAGACGCGAAAATCGAAACTTTCTAAAAATTATGTATTTATAACGGCATCGATTTAATATTGGTCGTTGAGCTGCAATTTGATACGACATTTGCATTTGAAATTAATAATTTGTAGGAGACAGAATTCAAATAGATCGTGAACAGAAGAGGATTCACACATGTTTGATGAGAGGATAAAAGAAGAGAGAGAGAGAGAGAAAATAACAAAACAAACAACCACTTTTATCTTTATTATTTTCGACAATTTTGACAATTCATTTTGTTACAATACTTAATTCAATCATTTTGTTATTACGACAAATATTTATATACACTCGCAATTTCTTTATTATTACTTAAACACTATTACTATTTTCCTTTGACACCATGTTAGGTACCGCTTCGAGAAACAAGTTGCTTGAATTTAATGCATGACATCAAATCAAATAACTTGTCTTGCATCACGAGCATCGTCGACCGACCAAAGCAACTTGACTTATACGAACGTCGCATCAAGTCAAATAATCCTTGACTAAGTTGAACGATAAATGTGTAACAATATGTAAAAATATTCGAAACGTTGGAAATGGAAAGAACCGTAACCGTTATGGAAAACGTGTTACATCGGTTAGTTCTTTTGTCGAGCGAGCAGCGTCGTATCGACGTTACACAAAAGTACACGAATACCCGATGGTCATAAAGGAAATTCGCGGAACAGTCGAAGGGCAAATTGAATTTGGCGGGCGTTGATGCACCGTCGATCGGCGAATAGCGAGAGGATCGAGTTGCAACCGACGTGGAAGCTTTCACGAATTGTTCGATAAAAAGGGATCGAGGATTTTTATCGAAACAATACACGCACGAAATGCACGCGTGCTTATTATCGGATTCCATTCGGTTCAATCGTTGCCCTACGCCGTCAGCTTCTTTTTTATCGATCGAGCGATCTAAATTCCGATCAACTTTTCCAGATCTGTCTCGGTTCGCGAGCATAAGTGGCCTCGAGATTTATGCCAAGCGTGTTCGAAGAAAATCTTTCATTATTGACGGTCACCGAACCACCCATTAAACCAATAAAAAAATTCTAACTGATGATATTGCTTAAGATGGCGCTGCTTTTCAGAAGATTACTTAAGCGATGTTGTAAACTTGTATATACTTTAAGATATCCTAGCCTAGCAGGAATGTAACGTGATCTTAATTAAACCTAAGGGTGACACATTTCAGACACGATTGATCATCCTATGATCGAGAATATTTACGATTAGTCTCTGATTATCATCGAATCTTCGTGCGATATCGATCACTTTAATTCGAGGGATTTCCTCGAACTTGAAGATATCGCGAGCAAGTAATTACGTCATAGGGATCCTCATTAAATTATGAAGAAGATTTTCGAGGATCCTTCGAGTTAATAATTAAAAATCTAATTAATACTTCGCTGTAATACTTTGATCATTGAATACGACAAATGGATAGCTTCTTTGTAACCACGTATCTCACACGATCATCTAAATTACGAGAGATCCAACTCTCTTAGAAACACGCGTACCCTTGTAATACACTTATCGTTAAGAAAATATACCACTTGTTACGACATCTGTCGAAGAGCATTCTACGTACACACACACACACACACACATATACATGTATCGAGTAACACGAACATACATTCGCGAGCACAGCCTCTACCTGATTAATTTTCAACGAGTGCGACACTTATCTCGACTCTCTGTTCATTGCGTACAATATTCATAGAATTAAAAAATTATTCGTAAAATAATTAGAACGCGAGGAACAATTCTCGCGAATTAATTTTCCGAGATTATTCAATTACTCGTCGAAAGATGGATCGACTCTTGAGCCTTATCCATCAATGGAAGGGTTGGTTGAAATGTATGTACGAGTTCACCTCTGAAAACAATTTTCACGGGAAGAAAACTGTTTTCCTTTTATTCGACCAAGTATCGAAGCTGGTTACCAAGCGAGCGTTTCGCCTCCTTCCAACCGCGATCTCTCCTCTTTCGACGCTCTAAGATCGGTCACGTACCATCATTTACTCACATCCGCTCAATTTTCCCGCATCCATGTGCACGTATTTACATACTCGTCGGCGCTCGCCTAGCCGGCGACTCGTACGGAATCGCTAATATCCCCCTCGCCCCTTCGCTGTGGGTAGAGCAACCTTCGTTGCTCGTTTTCATCCACGATCCTCTTCTATCCTTCGATCCACTCCTCCCCGCCCCTCGTTTCACGACTAACAACTTTCTGTTACCGTGTAATTGAGCTGAATTACGGCGGACAATAAGCGCGATTTCGTATTCGCCGAACCGTACGCCGATCGAAATCCTCTCTCGTGAAATTAGAACGGTTTTTATCACTTTTGTATTTTCCTCTTATATTGTTCTTTTACTTCTTTTTCTTCTTCTTCATCTCCTTCCTTTTTCTCGAACGAAACGCGGGGATCTTTAAATCGGAGGCAGCGTGGAAAGGATCTCTCTCGCGAGATAAATCGGGTTAATTGTACGTGGAAAGAATACAAATTTCTTTAGTTGTCGCGATCTTTCTCTCTCTCTCTCTCTCTCTCTCTCGTCACGGGTGGAACTCCACAACTTTCTCGAATGTTCAATGAATAAATCAGTCCAGTTATGAAGAGTAGCTCTAACCCGAGACAAGTCCGTCCGAGGACTTCCACTTGAATATCCTTTTTCGCGAGTTTTTCCATGCCCCTCCTGGCTAGCAATAATGGATGAGACGTCGGCCGGTGCAAATTATCTCCTCTTTTCTCGCAACGATGAATTTCAATCGCGACGATTTTTGAACGGATTACAGAGTCGAGGGATGTTGATCGATGTTCTTTCCCTCCTCTTATGCGATCAAAGGAAAGAAAATAGAAATAGAAAATCTATATTCAAAGAAACTCTCCATTAGAATCTTTTACAAAAAAGGAGAGAAGAAATTAAAATTAATAACAAAATCGAAGATTTCGAAAGATTGTATGCGGAGAGCATACAAAGAAGAAACGATTTCAAATATTATTTCTGCTTTAAAAAAAATTACCCTATTCCTCTTCTTCCATCCTGCTAAACACGACCCGTGATAAATTCTTTCGAGGAAGAATACCCAGCCTTCGATTGCCTTTTCCCATAAGAAGAAGAAGTCTTTGTAAGTGACCGCGACGTGGGGTCTTTTTATCGTTGCTTCCGGGTGCGTGGCATGAATCGATATCTATCTACCTCGTTGACAAAAGGAGGGGATTCCTTTTCGAACGAAACGAATAAACTCGTCCGATTCCCTCCACGAGATTGTCGAAGAAACGATTACCGAGATTTTAACGAAGTTTTGGACGAGAAACAAGAAAAAGGAAGAAGAAAAAAAAAAAAGAAAAGGGCATCCTCAAGTGCGCGGGCATCGGTGACTGGAGACTTCCGTGGGGGGTCGTTTTCTCCGCGTTATGAACGGGTCAGGGATCAAACAAGCGTGCCTCCACGGGGGAAAGAAATGAATGGAGGGTATAGGAAAAGGCAGAAAGGCCGTAGGTAAAAAGATATAAAGCTCGGCAACCTTAGAATCCCCCGGGGTGCCTTCCAGCGGTTCCAGAGATCCTCCATTATTTAACCCCTCTCTCACACCAGGCCCCGGTGATCTCGTTCAATTGTTTGCGCTTTCATAGGTGAACCTTGTGTGATCTTATTTTCCGCGTTTCCATCGCCGATCTGCCCGGCCTTATCCAAAGGGAGCCCTCCCTACCGAGTTCGGATACCTTCGGGATATTCGTCTAATTGAAAAAAGAGTGAAGTATATACGAAATTTTCCATAATTTTGGATAAAGATTTAATCTTTATCTATGTGGAAATATAGATGTTCGAGATATCATTCGTTGTCGAATCTTTTAATCGAAGAGAAATAGATACAATTTGGATGTTAATTTTGGATCAAAGTTGAATCTGTAGAAAAAATACAAATCCTTCTATTTTCCTTCTTACCGTACCTTCGAGATGTTTCGTCGTCCAATCTTTTAATTGTGGAAGGACGAAAATTCGTAGATAAATATTTTAGATTTCGACTCGAGAACGTTGTCGTGAAATCCGTATATCTAGACCCTAGGTTGGGAAAAAAGTTTGGCTCGAAGTTTGGCGAGAACGTGCGAGAGCGGCGATGCAATTTAACCTTTTTAAGGGGGTGAAACGGTGGGTGTCGCTCGCGACAGATGTTGCTTCCCACCGGGATGCCGAACGTCCAAATCCGCTGCTCAACTTTTCCGCGGTTGATGCCAGATGCGCGCAATGATATAATCTGCCTTCGTGATGCCGGCTCACGATTCGTCCGAACAACCGCCAATTAACTGCATAATCCGGAACTTGTTTACGTTTCGCGCCGCGTTAGTTGGGGAAGAAATATCTTCGAAAGTGAAACGAACAAGTAAGCGAGCGAGTAACTACACAATTTGTTATATTTATTATTGTATAATTTATATAATAGAAAAAGTTATGAGAAATTTTTTTACATATATATATAGAAAGCGGATATACAAGTGTGAACTATTAAATTTTTATGTCTTTACGTTGGAATTGAAAGAAATTTTTATCACCGGATAGAATAAAATACCTCTTTTATATGTATACAGGTGATAAATTTTAAAATGTTTTTTTATTTTTATTATTTTTTTTTTTTTTTACGTAAATAGAAAATTCTCTCGATAAAATGTGAAATAAAATACCGAATAGAGGAGCCACCATTCTTCCACGCTCAATTGTATCATCGATCGATTTTAGTAATTCTCCTCGTCGCATTTCACCAATCGAAGCAAACAGAGAAAATAGGGGCTATCTAATGGGAGAACAAGCGCATGTGCACACATATATATATATATATTACACATTGGCACACGTACGCGTAATACGATGTCATTTCGTTAGCGGGTTTATATGTGGCAGAATGAGGAACACACTAAGAGGAAGTAGGTAAATTGCATAGGTAATTTCCGCAACGAAATTCGCACGATCAATCGAGTACCGCAATTGGCTACGAATTTGGATAGTCCACGGAAGTAACGAAAAGCAACGCTACATTTTCCCCTTCATTTTTCACAATCATAAAGTATTTCGCGTACGTAGAAATACGTAGAAATAGAAATTTTACAAAATTATCGAAATACTATAATATTCCTCTAAATATGCATTTTTACAACAAAAAAGAAATTTCTTCATAATTACTTAACGAAAAAAATTAAATAAATAAAACAACATAAAATGAACAAAGAATGATCTCTAAATTCCTCTCAGTAGAATTATCGCAATTTCTCAGAGAGAGAGAGAGAGAGAGAGAGAGAGAGAGAGAGAGAGAGAGAGAGAGAGAGAGAGAGAGAGAGAGAGAGAGAGAGAGTAG